TTCCAAGGGGCTAATCTGCCCAAGTTCATTGCTTACTTGAAACGTCTCTTGGGGGAAGAGCTGGGCAAGTGGCTTTTTTTCCAGTGGGCGGTCATAAGAGCATTATTAACGGGATGACCAGCCCCAGACACAGCAAAATGAAAGCAACAGGACCTGCTCGTGGGACTGCCTTTGCCACCACCCAGAGTCAGTGCTCAGGTAAAATGATTTTGGCTCGTTTTCTTCTTGTTCAACCTCCCAGTAGTGGATCGGGGGAACCTAGAGGAAGACCAAAGGAATGCCCAGGTTGATGCTGAAGGAAAGCTAAAGTCAAAAAGGAATACAGGCGTTCAGTACCTTTGGGTCTTCGGTGTTTTGTTCCGATTAGGATAGAGTGTACATTGGAAACAAGAGAGTCTCAAAATAAGGAACATAGTGAAACTCCACTTGGTTCGTTCTATAGATTTAGTGGATTCTTTTTTTCTCTCTCTAATCTGTGATTACTGGTCTGGGTTGTTGTTGTTCTGTTAAGTTATGCTCCTAAAGAGTGGATTGCAGTAGCACTTTCCAAGACTTTCTGGAGACAGATTTAGTACATACTCGATGTATGTACTTGTAAACCATTCCTGCCTGGAGAAGTTCTTGATCCTGTAGCTGGTGGGAAGCCGGGAGTATGAAGCATCAGAGTAATTGGGGGAACTAATGTTTGTAGCAGAATCTTTGTGAAAAAGAAGGGAAACCTGACTAAATGAAATAACCTAATTTTTTTTTCCCTTCAGAGGAGGGAAAAGCTTTTGTTTGTCTGTTTCTATCATTTGTATCCTTTATTGACTGTACATTTTACTTGCAAAATTAGTACTTTATTCTTTGAGGGTAATCGTTATACTTTGTTCAAAATATGAATGTCCTCATTTTTGTTTTCAATACGAAGTCCTTTAATTATTAGCCTTTGAAACCACTTCCCTATTACACATCACACATGACTGATAATGCAGAAAGACAAGAAAGAAAATAGCCCTTCACAAACTCAGTCATGGTGATGTGGCCGTTCTACCTTTAGAAAAGAATGTACAAAGTGATTTTCTAAGGTCTGAGGGAAGCCATCTTTTCTGAGTACATGAGACTTCCGAAGCATATTTAAAAAGAAAAGATTTGAGAGCGCCCTGTCCATTGAAGTTTTGCATTAGAAGAGAATTAAAGGGTCAGTAAGAAACATGGCATGTCAAAACTATTTCATGCTTTCTAACAACAAGAATAGCCATTCTGAGCTAACTTACTTGGATATTGAAGCCAAGGATGAAGCTCACGCAGAGCAGTTCAAAGCCTTTGGACAAAAGAAAAGGGAATTAGTTTGGGGAACAAGTTAAACCATGATTGTACATCAAATTTGCCCTCTTCAAGAAAATGATTTTAAAAATCTAGTATCTACCCACACTGAAGACCTGAATAAAAGCACAATACAGCAAAGCCCACAGTAGAGCATAATCAATTATGCATGATATTTTGTAGAATTTCTAATTCATGTGTTATACATGCACTCTTTCTATTATGTATTGTACTTCTCTCAAAAACAGAGAGAATTCAATTCAATTATGAATGTTGGAAAGATTTTTTTATATTACATTCCTTCCCCACCCCCTCCCAATTTTCCATGCCTTTGCAAGGGAAATGGTTAATCTGCTGGTAATAAGAAATGGAAATTGATCTTCATTCCTTTCACTAACAGTGAGGTAGGATTTTCACCTTCAAGAAGGTAATTAAGTTGCTAAACTGAAACAAGTCAAGTTACTTTATTTTTAAAAACTAACAAGTTGGCAATCTCTCTATGTAGTAATTCTGACTAAAACTTCCAGGGTCTTCCAAGTCGAAACTGGGATCCATGAGTGAGACAAATAATCAAGGTGTCCTTGGAAAGTCTAATTCATCTGTCATGGTCCCCCAGATTCTCAAGTTAGGAATCCTGTTGGAATCACATTTCTTTGTTAGAGCTCTTATAATGATCCACCTTCTTTTACTTCTTGCTCCTATTACAATGTCTTCCTAATGTTCCACCCCAATCCTTTATCCTAAGGAGAGAGGTAGAACACAGAAGAATATGTATTACTCCATGTGTGGGGACAGAAGGGAGGGAAGAGGAGGGAAAAATGCAAGTATGAACTGGGTCTAAGGCATGCCTCTAGGAGTCCAACTCTGCCCAAAAACCAAGGCATTCCCAGGCATGCCCAGATGGCACTGGGTATTTAGTATTAATATTAATAATATGTAATTTGGAAAGGCAGTTTAGCAGAGTGGGTAAGAGTGTGAACTCTAGTCAGACTATGCAAGTTCAAACTCTGGCTTTAAAATGTACTTGCTGCAACTCTCTGCCTCATTTCTTCAATGGTAAAATAGACATGATAGTAGTACTTCCCTCATGGGGTCCTTATGAGGATCCATGGAGATAATACATATATGGCATATTTCCAGGCACATGAGGAGCCCTTCGTAAATGCTAAATATTGAGCGCCTACTGAGTTCCAGGTGCTCTCCCTGAATCATGTGCTTTGGTAAATACAACAATGTTCTGAGGTGGCTATGATTATCCTCGTTTTATAGAAAAGACTCAGGGATATTAAATAACTTATCTATATACCATTTTTAGTGGCCAACTAGGCCTTCTTGGAGCCTATGATCCCCAATGCAAAGAGAAATCAAACTGGGTCAGGTCTATTATAGCAGGTTCATAGTGCTCTTGTGTGAACCTGCATCTGAACTTTTAGTACCAGAACCAACCCAGCACGGGTCCCTTTTCTTGAATTGAAACATGGTACCCAAATAATAATGATAACAACTTGGTGTGTCAGCTATTATTATTATTGTGCCCATTTTATAGATGAGAAAAACTGAGGACCAAAAAAATTATGTAACTTTGTCCAGCCCATAGAGTCCCACTCATGCCACTTTTTCTAACGGCAAACCTCTCACTCTATCCGTAATACTGCCATGCCTTCTTTCTCTCAGGGAATATTGGTTGGCACTCCCCCAAATTTGCAGATCCTTCCCCAAAAGATCCTTCTGAATTCTAGCCAAAATGGGCCACAAAGAAGAAAGGAAAGTGCATTCTCCCTTTCCTGCTCCCCAAGGTGTAGGGAAAGTTGGTTTCAAATGTCCAGTGAGGAATATTTTTACCGTCTTTCTGCCAAGAGATGTTATCAATGAAAGTGTTCAGTGTCTAGGAAAAATCACAGCCTATGAATAGTCTAACTTACAGGCTTTTCACAAAGATAAAGCCTGGTTATCTACGCTGCTCAGCTCATTTCTGTTGCTAAGATGCAGCCACTAGCTTTTCCTATATATTTGAGAAGAAAAATCTTTGTGAATCACACTGGGGCTTTCTTCATGCCCAGCTGACAAACAGAATGGCAAATGTTACCTTTGTGGTTTGAGGGTGCAGAGGGCCACCTGGACCCAGGGATCTCGGAGACGGCCTAGGTGCTCCTCTTTGTATGGATAGTGCATAAACACTGAGAAGTGCAGGCATGCCTCATGTTGCTACTATTACAATGTTCTTTGTCATACGAGATAACTTCTGCCTTCTGTGCTACAGGCTTGCATAGACTCCATCATGAGAGAGGAGAGAGGTGGGAGACTAAGGGTTGAAAGCAAACCAGACCCTCGCACAGTTTATATAGATGTTTGGGTCCTTGGCAGAGTCAGTATTAATTACAGCCAACATATAGGGGCTTGTAACAGTTAACACTGGTCACTGAGGCCAAGTAAACTGATAAGTTGCACTTTGGCCCTGTATATTTTATTTATTTTATTTTTTTTATGGCCCTGTATATTTTAAGGGCATAAATTTAGTCCTGATACTGTGTTAAAGAAAAGATGATACCATATGGAAATAACTTTACAGGATGCTCTAACAACTTCTGTCTTAAATGCTTAGAAAAGGAATCTTCTGAGTAGCTTATAGGATCTCATGGGAGACTCCTCTACTTTTTCAAAAGCTGGAAAAGAAAGGGGTAAAGGCTATGGGATGTACACTGTGCTTTGGAACAAAGATGGTACAGTTTGCGGGAGCTTCCTTCATCCTTCAGGGAACCCAATCTCAGTGGCCGGACTTCCTGGTGGACAGTCCCAACAATGCCCATTCTAAGAAGCTGTGCTTCCTGTGCTTAAAGACATGTGGAATTAAAAAAGAAAAGAAAGGAAAAGAAAAAGTGCTATCTTCCTTCCTTCCAAAGGCATTACCTGTGAAGTTCTGGACTATGATAAAGACATTTATCTTCCTTATGCTTCCATTTCCTTTTTTTCCTTCTGTATTTAAGCACTGCTAATTAGGATCTTAGAAAAAGCATCATGATGGATTAGAGCTCTTGAATTGTATAATTCTCTTACCATTTCTCTTTCTTTCTTTCTTTTTTTTAGCAAGAGAGGTGGGAGGAGGGGCAGAGTGAGAGGGAGAGAGAGAATCTCAAGCACATTCCCCACTAAGCGCAGAGCTGGCCTCGGGGCTTGATCTCACGACCCTGAGATCATGAGCTGAGCCAAAATCAAGAGCTGGATGCTCAACTGACTGAGCCACCCAGGCTCCCCAGTTTCTCTTTCTTTCTACAAGGAAAATCAAATGGAAGTGTTAGCCATGAGAACTTAATACTTACTTACATGTATTTCCCCCCAGCACTGAATATTTGTTATTTACAGGGATATAAACCTACTGCTCTGTGTTTTTCATTTCCTCCATAAAACATTGTTTTTCTGCCTTCAAAAATCATTAAGAATTTGTATATGGTTCCATCACTAACATTTTTTTATTATGGTCATTTTCTTTGACTTGATATTATAATGTTGACCTAATCAACAACTTCTGGCAGCACTTGATTTCATTATATGCAGTGTCCATGTGTGAAGTAACCACAATTTCAGTTCGGTTTATGAGATACTAGTCTATTACGTGATTATGAAATTTTGTTTCCTATGCAAAAATACTTGGAGGTTATGTTCACCTTACTTCTTCTTCTTTTTTTTTTTTCAGGCTCAGAAATCCTGGATAGAAAGAGCATTTTATAAAAGAGAATGTGTTCACATCATACCCAGCACCAAAGACCCCCATAGGTAATCTTGCCGTTTCTATAATGAAGTGAGACCACAGAGTAGCAGTTACGGGAACAAAACTACAACAGTAATCACTCTCCATTGCAAGGGAACCAACGTCAAAGATCATTTCTTTTAATCTTTGCTGGACATCTCCGCAGCAATATTATATGTATACACCACATAATATGCCATGCCTGCAGTTAATTCTCTAACAGCCTGTACAAAATAACAGATAACCCATTGGGAAGGAATTAATCACTGTCTATAAGTGGGTTATATGTATTTTTAGTATGGTTACTGATTTTCCCTTTTAAGCATTTCATCAAAATGCTTAGTTTGTACCAACATTCTCTGCTAAAATGAAAAAGAGCTTTTTAAATAAAAGACTCCTAGCAGATTACTAATTAGACTGCTGACCTTCAGATTCCTGTCCAAGCACATTTTTAGTGTCCTACTTACCTTACCTTTAGTATCCTACTTACCTCCCTGATTTTGCCTTAATTAACAGCGTATAAAGTAGGAAGCATTTGGGATGTGGTAACATATGAATGTCTGGAAATGCCTTTATGAAAAGGCAACATAATCAAGCAATTTTAAAATACAGGCTGTAGAGTCATATAGACTAGCTGTGTAACCTTGAGCAAATTTCCTAACCTTCAAAACTGCAATATTTTACTCATAAAATAAATGTGACGTCGTTAGTATTTAATAACTGATAACTGTGTATCAATATTATTATTAATAGTTATAATAGTGATACAAATAAAGTATGAAGGATTGTATCGGTATTATTACTAATAATAGTGGTAGTGGAAAAGTATGAAGGACATTTTCATGATGTGAGGAGTGAATTTTGTTTTCAAATATCTTGTGAATAATATTTTCATCGTTTCTTTGGGAACACTTAAGCTGTAGATTTTTATTCTCAGACTTGGATATTTGACAGTGCATGTCAATTGAGGAAAGACAAGTTAGGTGACTCACATATGAGTGAGCGTTCTTATTTAAATGTGTATGTTAAGATTCTTCCCTCAAAGCTGTGCAGTGGCTTTCATGCAAGATTTGATAGATGGGAGGAGTAAGAAGTAGAAAAATCTATAGGGGGGCGCCTGGGTGGCTCAGTCAATAAGCGTCTGCCTTCGGCTCAGGTCATGATCACAGGGTCCTGGGATCGAGCCCCGCATCGGGCTCCCTGCTCAGCAGGAAGCCTGCTTCTCCCTCTCCCACTCCCCCTGCTTGTGTTCCCTCTCTCGCTGTCTCTCTCTCTGTCAAATAAATAAATAAAATCTTAAAAAATATATATATAGGGCTTTTGTTCACAGGTTCCGATCCAGAACAATATGGCAGGTCTGAAAGGGGTGGGTGGAGAAGGCCGGGAGGCATGTTATAGCTTATCCAGCTAAAGGAAAATGAGGAGGAGCAGAAAAGAAAATTTGTATGTCAAGTAAATCCTGAGTTCACTATTTGCCTGATATAGCCACATTGTGGGATTCTGCCTAAGAGCTGACTGGCTATGGTCTGTCGATTTCTCTGGCAGGTTGCCCTCAGTGGGTGTTCCAATAATGGCAGATACAAGGGATTCACTTTGACCTCCTCTGATGCAGGTGTTGCTGTGGGCGTCTGATCGGCCAGCATGTGGGCCTCACTCCCAGTATCTCCGTTCTTCAGAATGAGAAAAATGAGAGTCGCCTCTCCCGAAATGACATCCAGTCCGAGAAGTGGTCCATCAGCAAGCACACTCAACTCAGCCCGACGGATGCTTTTGGGACCATTGAGTTCCAAGGAGGTGGCCATTCCAACAAAGCTATGGTAATCAGAAACCCATTCAGTTGCTTCCCAAATTCTTTCTCACGTCCTGTAAAGGAGAAGTGAAGAGCTGGAGATTGAGCCTTTGGGCTTAGTCCCACCTCTGTCAGATCCAGGCTGGGCAAGGGGCTCTGATGACCTTGGCCCTATGCATCTCTGCTCTCCTCTAGAGAATGGGGGAAAGAAAATTCCTCCCAGGATTTTTTAAATAATTAGTATGATTATTGGATGCAGTGACTATTGTTATTAATTATTAATAATAACAAGTAGCTTTCTATAGTGATCCACTGTTTATTATGTTACTCTCTGGGTCTCATCCCTTGGGGCGTTTTTCTGTCTCCTTTGGTAAAAAAGAAAAGAAAAGGGAAAAAAAAATCTTACCTTTAGGTTTCTGTTTGGTTCTATTGGTAACTAGCATTCTTTCAATTCAAGGTAGAAATGATCAACCCAGACTGTTCTAACAGAGATCTTGCCATCTAAAGTGAGTGCTTTTGCTCCAGGCAGCTATGTTCAATAAAGTTCTCAGTAGAAGAGCTCCATATGAAAAGCATTTTGTTTGGAACGGAGGCTTTAGGAAATAATACAGATTTTACTTCTAAGAGTTGTTGCTTCTAAATTTCAGCTTTCATCATGAACCTCTCCCTACTTGGCCGACAGATTTTTTTCCAGGAGGAAAGTATACCATATGTTTTTGGAAATTCTAGAAATGCTATATTTCAACAAGCTTGCTTCTAACAGAGAGAGTTAGTTGAGGGTGAGGCAGTTGGAGGTAACTGCTCTGAGGCTCACAAAGTTTTCCGAGTTTGGAGGGGAAATTTTGCTTAGAGAAGCTTACTGCAAAACGCAAGGGAAGTCACTTCACACTAGTCACAGACTAAAAATGTGCAAAAAAGCCACCTCTCTCCCCTTTCATCTCTCCTCCCCTTTCCCTCTATTCCCTCACTCCTGCAGGATTTTCTTCACCACGAATGGCTGACTGAGCTATTCTCATAGTTTTCCCCTAAGAAAATCAATACTGAGTTATACATTAGAGTAAAAACAATTTTGAGCAGTGTATTGGGAAGAAGAGGATGCTATGTGCAGCCACCTGTAAGGCCTGGGGGAAAAAGGGGAGGGGGTGGGGTGTTAGTCTTGGCCTGTACAGAACCAAGGGCAATGGAAATTTGGCAATGTCCTCATCCACCCAAGGGATGTATTCCCCTACACAAAGTCATTAAGAGTCCCTAGCTCAGCACAATTCCCATTCACAGTATGGGATTGAACCATATACACTGGGGATCCTCTGGAACGATGCATTAATTAAAAGTCATGTAAGTTCATCCTTTAAGAAAAGTGCTGTAAAAAAAAAAGAAAAGAAAAGAAAGAAAGAAAAGAAAAAGCAAAGGGATGGAAATGGATCCATGAGGGGCCAAAGTTCTTCATTGGAGACGAGACTATGATAATGTTGAGAATGAAGTGTGCCCCCCAAAGAGAGAAAGTCCCACAGATGAGGAAGTGGCTTATTAGGCAATGATCATTGTGGAGTGGTACACCCAGTGACGTCATAGGGTGTTTGGTGCCCGCGAGCTTTGTGCCCCACGTCGCACAGCTGATATATGATATATGTATATTATGACATTTAGCAGCAGAGGAAAAACTTGAAGAGGCAAATCTTTCCCTCTCCTCTGGAAGTGTGAATACATAGGACATCGAACTTTGATAGCCCTCCCCAAGCCTCACATAGCTCTACAAAACCCGGAACTATCTGGTTAATCAGGTTAGGAAAGATCAGCTACATGATTTTAGATCCCAGTGTAAAATGAAAATGTAGGCCCCCAGCTGGGGCAGGGAAGGCAGTCCCCCGTTGCCACGGCTGACAGCCCCAACTCACAGTAGTCAGGCAACAATCCAGGGAATGGCTGTCTCCGTGGTGGGACATGCTCGGGATCTGTTGTGGTTGAATCTTTCCACCAAGTCACCTAGGAAACACTCCACAGCATGACTAGCCTAAGGCAGGGACAGCTACTTCCTTGCTCTGTCCTGAAATGCTACAGGAAATACATCTAACCCTGCCCCTCCCCTCGCCTGCACCCAGGTCCCAGTCAGTGATGGAGGGTGATGATGGAGCACAAACCCCGTTTCTTCCCCAGGCGAGATTGGGGTGGAGAGGCTCGACTGGCTGGGACACCAGAGATGAGAGCAGGTGGCTGAGATCCCCTGTCCCAGGAAGGCAGCAGGAGGAGGTGGGAAATGGGGACCGTGGACCACATGTGAACTGAGGCCCCAAGCCCTCTGTGGATGCTCTACCGTCCCATCAGACTTCATCAGACTTCATGTACAAAACACAGATTCAAGGATAAAACCGTTAAGGATTTCAAGACAGCAAGTGCAGAGCATTAAACTCTAAGCACTGCCTTTCTGAGCAGTGTGACCGTGAAGTGGGCCCTGAGATTAGGTCTCACATGTCCTCGATGGTCTCAGAGCAGACACTACGAGGAAAAACCTTTCTTTCAGAGTCTAATCAGTCAAACGAGGACCAGTTTTCTTTCTTTCTTTCTTTCTTTCTTTCTTTCTTTCTTTCTTTCTTTCTTTCTTTCTTTCTTCCTTCCTTCCTTCCTTCCTTCCTTCCTTCCTTCCTTCCTTCCTTCTTTCCTTTCCTTTCCTTTCCTTTCTTTTTCTTCCTTCCTTCCTTCCATCCTTCCTTCCTTCCTTCTTTCCTTTCCTTTCCTTTCCTTTCCTTTCCTTTCCTTTCCTTTCCTTTCCCTTTCTTTCTTTCTTTCTTTTTCCTTCTTTCTTTTTTTGGGCGGTGTGTACAACCAAATATTTAGCCAGTGAGAGTCCCCGCTATTCAGAGACAATGAGCATTTGTCCACTTTGAATACCTGGCCTTGAATGATTCTGATTCTCCTGTCTAGACCAAGGGGCGGAGCTGACAACAGGTCAGATGTCCGGCTTTATCAGGCAGGGTGGTGGTTTTGTGCCAACCTGGGCCTCCCTTACTTCTTGCCCTCCCCAACAAACTGGCATGCAGTTTGGACAAAGGAAAAAATCAGCAACTACTGTCTGTTAAAGAATGCTAGTCTTCAGATGGGGAAGGCAGGGTTAAATATTCACCACGATTGAAGGGAAACAGGTCAATAACTTACTGTCTTTGATCCCTGTTCCTGACAAGAATATTTAGAAGTTGAGATGATTTTTAGCAAAGTGAGCAAAGAACTCTAGAGGGCAGATTAATTTTGACCTTTATTATTAAAAAAAAAAAAGTAAAAAAATATATACATAACATTAATTTTTACCTTCAAGACCGCCCAAGATGAGGCACTTGGCTCTTCAGAATGCCATTGTGGTCTGGACACAATGTGAGGCAGAATGCACTGGAGTATGGTAGAAGGTTCAGTTGGAGAAAAGAGAATCTTTATTAAAATGTGGTGGGCCACGGGGAAACCTTATCTGCTCAGAAACGTTATGTCCGTGTGTCTTCACCTAGGGACGCCACAGAGCTTTGGGCACCAAAGACACTGGAGGGAGCGATGCAGTGGTTCTCTGCTTGGAGGATCACAATGACCCGTGCACTTCTACGGATGCCCGTGGCCAAGAATCATTGCCAGAGAGTCTCCCTCGCTGGTCTGAGATGGAACCTGGGCATTTGAAGTATTTTAAAAATGAGCCAGGTTATTCTATTCAGCCAGGCTTAGAAAGGACTAAATCATCTCAATCTCTCTACCTGTTTTATAGACGAGGAGACCGGAGCCCAGAGAACTTCAATTCTTTTCTGAGAGATACTTGGTTATGTAATGACAAAGATAAATTCTTGAACCCAAGTTCCTCAGGACTCGCCATCAGTTCTGTTTCTTCTCTGTCGTGTATGCTTGGAATAGACTATAGGAGATGTTTTGAAGGGAAGCTAATTACTATTATATTTCTCGCTGTCTTATAAGGGTTTTGAAAACTTTTCAGTAGAATTAGGAAATTAGTATTATTTGATGAGGTTAATTAAACTCAAAAGCTATGAGCAGGAGGAGGTCTTTGTAAAATTACATCCTAGGTTAATGGAACCATTTTCTGAGCTTTTCCCAGCACTTTGTGGTGTTCTGTCCTCAATTCCCAGGCTCGACAAGCCTGGGAAAGTGTGGTAGCAATGGATCCAGCGTCTCTCTCACTTTGCAAAGAAATCATGACCCAAGCAGGAGACACCCTGGTAGCTGACAGTGAGTGAAGGGTCCTCACTCCCTTCTCTTCTCAGCACTAAGCCACGTCCTACCAAATTGGCATGCCCCAAATGCCATTCCTGGGCTGTTGGAGGACCTGGCAGTTCATTCAGGTGCCTCATAAAAGTTAGAACATGAGGACCAAGGAAGAAGATAGTAAGATACTAAAGCTCTGGGTTAGACATTGTCTTATTAGTGTGAGTTCTAGGTAACTTTTTAAAACTGACTTAGAGAGCAGTCGCAAGATGGCCCCGCAGCAGACCCTGGGCCCTCTCTCAAAGACTCTTCTTTATCTGGGGCTACGGCTGTAAGTTCTTTAGAAGAGGGACAGTGCTGGACTTGATTATACAGAATCTTATTTGCTACTAATTGTCTCTTCCAATTAATGCTGAGCTGACTTGTGGACCAGGTAAGTATAACCTAATTAAGGACTTGTATTTAAACCTCTCAAGTCATTCACATAATTATCTTCAGGTTTTCCCTTGCTATTCACTCTGTTTATTAGATCAGGTTGAGCCCCTTATTATAGTTTTTATATAATTTAGGTAATTGTTCCTCTGCCTCATTGTCACACTTAAAGCTCTAACCGTCGAGTCTGCTGGGATGAAAGCCTTCTACTCTGAGCATTATCAGTGGGAGGATTGAGGGTAGGGAGTCTGTTGGCAGCACGTCATCTACAATCTTACACTCTTCAAATGCTATGGGATTGAATTTGATCTTTTTTTAAATTGTCTTTCTTTGAATTATGCAAATTTAATCTGGGTCTCATCACTGACGGACACATACCAAATACGAAACTAAATGAATCCCATGTCA